CAGCCTGCCTGTCTCTACTAAAAACACAAAAATTAGCAGGAGATGGTGGTGTGTGCCTGTAATCCCAGCTACTTGGGAGCCTGAGCAGGAGAATTCCTTGAACCCATCAGTTGGAGGCTGCAGTGAGCTGAGATCCCGTCACTGTTCTCCAGCCTGGCAACAGAGAAAGACTCCCTCTGGGGAAAAAAAAAAAAAAAAAAAAAAAGCAAAGATTTATTAAAAATGAAAGTACACTCACGCTTGTAATCCTAGCACTTTGGGAGGCCAAGGCAGGCAGACTGAAGCTTTGTCTTCCCAAGAATATGAATTTGACAAACCAAACATTGGTTATAAACTGCATTAGCAATGTATAAGCTAGCACACCAATATATATTTAATTTGGATCATTTTATCTTTTCCATGATGAGTCATGGAATGCATAACCTTTAATAACAAAAGCTTGAAGGATTCAGGAAGAACAGGTGGCTGTCCTGGTTCTCCATGAGTTCTGCTTAACATTGGATTTATATTCTTTTGCATATCAATTGATTCTCCAATTAATTTTATTTATTTATTTATTGATTTATCTATTTATTTTTAAAAATAGAGGTGGGGTTTCACCATCTTGGCCAGGATGGTCTTGAACTCCTGACCTCGTGATCCACCCGCCTTGGCCTCCCAAAGTGCTGGGATTACAGGCGTGAGCCACTGCGCCCTCCTGTTTCTCTAATTTAGAGGCATAGCACTGATAGCTAATGGGTTATCTCAGGTAATTTGACTTAGACTGTGGGGTTCATTCAAATTGTATATCTAAACAATTTCAGTATCAGCAACATGCAAATCAGGGAATGTATTTTTTTGGTATTCAATTAATTTTTGTTCTACTTCGGTTAGCAATTTTTTTACAGGGAAATTGGCTTATTTCTGTGTTCTACAGTAACTTTACATAACAAACATAATTATGATTGATAGAATCTACTCAGACATTTAGAATTTTAGAAATTCCACACTATTTTCTAACATACATTAATATTCACCAAAATAAGATCTGAAGAAGATTAAACTTTTTTTTATTTTGACAATGCTTCCCAGGTTAACTAAACGTGTCAAATAATCCTGTTTACCTCTCTTTTGAATGCTTCACCAGCCCTCTGTAGTATCTCAAAGTTAGAGGTCAGAAAAGACAATTTTGTAATCCCAGCACTTTGGGAGGTCAAGACGGGCAGATTACCTCAGGTCAGGAGTTCAAGACCAGCCTGGTCAACATGGTGAAACCCTGTCTCTACTAAAACCACAAAAAACTAGCCTGGTATGGTGGTGTGTACTTTTAGTCCCAGCTACTCAGGCAGCTGAGACAGGAGAATCACTTGAACCTGGAAGGCGGTGGTTGATGTGAGCCGAGATAGTGCCACTACACTCCAGCCTGGGCAACACTACGAGACTCCCTCTCAAAAAAGAAAAGAAAGAAAAAAGTAAAAAAGGACAATTTTGAAGCTGAAATTTGATTTTGGGAAGCCTATTAAATAAGTTAAAGGTGAGTTGATAAAGTTAAATAAATTCAAGAATCCATTTCAGAAAAAGATTGGAAAGATTTGCCTATAAGCTTTAATTAAAAATTGGGGTTGTGGTTGATATTAACAATACAGTAACACAAGGGTGAAATTTGGCTTTCTCTTTTGAAGAAGATTTTCACATAATTTTAAAAGATAATGAAAGGTTTTTGTTTGTCTTTTTCTTTTTTTTGAGATAGAGTCTTGCTCTGTTGCCTAGGCTGGAGTGCTATGGCCCAATCTTGGCTCACTGCAACCTCTGTCTCCCAGGTTCAAGTGATTCTCCTGCCTCAGCCTCCTGAGTAGCTGGGATTACAGGCACCTGCCACCATGCCCGGCTAACTTTTTGTATTTTTAGTAGAGATGGGGTTTCACCATGTCAGCCAGGTGGTCTCGAACTCCTGACCTTGTGATCTGCCTGCCTTAGCCTCCCAAAGCACTGGGATTACAGGCATGAGCCACTGTAGCTGGCCTTGTTTGCCTTTTGAATAAACTATTGGGAAAAAGAAAAGGAAGAAGGAAAAGACAAGAGACAGATTGTTTGGAAAGCTAAGTCTTCCCTCAGTCAATGAGTAAAGGTTTTTGCCTTTCTTTTTTTTTTTGTTTTGAGATGGAGTCTTCCTCTCTCACCCAGGCTGGAGTGCAGTGGTGCAGTCCTGGCTCACCGCAACCTCCGTCTCCTGGGTTCAAGCAATTCTCTGCCTCAGCCTCCCGAATAGCTGGGATTACAGGCACCTGCCACCACACCTAGCTAATTTTTGTATTTTTAGTAGAGACAGGGTTTCACCATCTTGGCCAGGCTGGTATTGAACTCCTGACCTCATGATCCACCTGCCTCAACCTCCTAAAGTGCTGGGATTACAGGCGTGAGCCACTGCACCCGGCAGGTTTTTGCCTTTCAAAATGTTCTTTAGTCATCATTTTGGCTAAATGAATGACTTATGGTAACCTGGAATTCTATTTCATAATATTAAGTGTTTTAAACTTTTATTTTTGAGGTGAAGTCTTTGCTCTGATGCCCAGGCTGGAGTGCAATGGTGCAATCTCAGCTCACTGTAACCTCTGTTTCCTGGGTTCAAGAAGTTCTTCTGCCTCAGCCTCCCTAGAAACTGAGATTGCAGGTCCCCGCCACCAAGCCTGGCTAATATTCATATAATTAGTAGAGATAAGCTTTCACCATGTTGGCCAGGCTGGTCTAGAACTCTTTACCTCAGGTGATCCACCCACCTCAGCCTCCCGAAGTGCTGGAATTACAGGCATGTGCCATTGCACTTGGCCCAGAATTTTTTACAAGATTAAATTTTTTTATGAACCTTTCACAACTTGTTCAAACCTTTAGCTTTATCCTAACTTAAAACAATCTTTTAACCCTTTAGGCAAAAAAAAAAAAAAAAATCCATATTTCCATGCCTGCTTATAATCTTTTACCAAAAACACATTTCACTTTTCTTACATAGCTTGCATGTAAATTTGTTTCTTCAGTAGTCTCAATTACAGGTTACAATGATAGCTCTTAATGACTTTTACTTTTGGTGAAAACCGTGGTAAGTTTAATATTTTAATTATGTATTAGGTGTGGAGCCTGGGATTACAGGTATGAGCCAAAGACAGTTTAAAGATTATTGGTAAAATAAAAATATCTTCAAAAATGTAAACATTTGGTATAAATTATTGAGGTCAGCTAATAGGTTTGCTAAATGCTTTAAGGTCATAAATGGCTTCTTTGACTTTTAAAAATTGTTCAATTTATTTTGGAACATTGGAGTCTAAAAAAACACAAAAATTAGCCAGGCATGGTGGCACATGCATGTAATCCCAGCTACTGGGAGGCTGAGACAGGTAAATTGTTTGAACCTGGGAAGTGGAGTTTACAGATTGTGCCAGCCTGGGTGACAGAGCAAGACTCCATCTCACAAAACAAACAAACAAAAAACTATTTTGCAAAGATTACTTAAGTCACATGAACTAAATAAAAGGCACTACACCTTTAACTTTGCTGACAAAATATTTGATTTAAGGTCTTAATATTATTAAACTAATTAATTAAATCTCTTTTATATTACACATAGAAGATGTGTAAATACACAGACAGACAGAAAATAAAGGACTAATTCCCTAAGCCAGAAATCAAACCCTAAACCTGGACCGCCATTGTGAAAAGAGAAAGCATGCCACATGGTTACAAGGTCAAGCTCCCAAGGACATGACTGACCAGTTTGCTGGGCCAGCTTGAAAAGCAGACCCACAGGGTCCTAGGCACGCATTTTATCCTGAGGTACCCCTATTTATGACGGAAGAATACAGAAAGACAAAACATACCAGATTCACTACAGCTTAAGACCAGCCTCAGAGTTCTTTTTTTTATTAATCAAAACTTTACAGAGGTGATAAACAGTGACTTTTACCCTTCAGTAAACCAGTCTCCACTGAGAGAGAGAGAGGCCAGAGTCTGACTGGTAAGAAATTCTTACCCTTTTACCAGCATGTCAGGTTTCTGGGTTCTCTCCCTGAGCAGCCCTAGCAACCTTGCTCAACTGTATGCAAACAAACACATTGCTATGGATTAAGAATATTCACAAATAGTTTACAAATTTTGAAGAAATTAGGCAGAGAGAGAAATATGATTCAAATGCTATCTATGAAAGTATATTTAACACACTTAAAGTATCAGGAAGCCTAAACCCCAAAAAGTTAGTTTAAGGTTAAGAAGTTGGTGTCCTCCATTAATTTCTGCAGGCTTGACAAAGGTAACCTAGGAATTTCAGATAAATGGCACAAATGATGACTTGCTAGAAATGCATAGGGAACAAAACCATTCAAAATAACCAGAACCAAATAAAAACCTTCCACTAGACACTGAAAAGAATCATGGTTTTATATATATCCATACACAAGCAAAGCCCAGAGAATAAACAGCAAATGAATGAAAATTAGAAGCAAAAACAAATAAACAGGAAACCAACCCTTAATTTTCCTACTCAGTCTATCCTGGAGGGTAGTGTTACCCAGGGCCCCAGAAAACACACATAATGAATATTCCTGATGCACAATTCAATATCCTTAAGTCAGCTAATATCACCGTAAATTCTGTGCAATCCAGAAATTCACTCTAGGCACATGAGCAATAAGTACTCCAGTGCCAGCATTACCCATGCAAAACAGTAAACATACTATGAAGCAATGCAAGCATGTATGTGAAATTTGGCTCCACACTAAATTCGGCTTCATGCTTAATTAAACTTAAAAAAGAAAGGCCAAATTGCCAATGGATTTTTTCTTTCTTTCTTTCTTTCTTTCTTTTTTTTTTTGAGAGAGTCTTGCTCTGTTGCCCAGAGTATAATGGTGCCATTGCTTCCTGCAACCTCCACCTCCTGGGTTCGAGCAGTTCTTCTGCCTCAGCCTCCCAAGTTGCTGGGATTACAGGCTCACGCCACCACGCCAAACTAATTTTTTTTTATTTTTAGTAGAGGCGGGGTTTTGCCATGTTGGTCAGGCTGGTCTTAATTTCTTGACCTCGTGATTGCCCGCCTCAGCCTACACAAGTGCTGGGATTACAAGCGTGAGCCACTGCAACTGGCCACTGCCAATGCATTTCATTATAATACTTCTTATTTTACTTTAATCAAGACTAAGAGATTTAACTATGAAAATTTTAATTAGCCGCATGTCTTCAACTCTGCATCAGGTTTGTTTGTGTGTTTGAGATGGAGTCTCGCTCTGTCACCCAGGCTGGAGTGCAGTGGTATGATCTCAGCTCACTGCAACCTCTGCTCCCGGGTTGAAACGATTCGCCTGCCTCAGCCTCCCAAGTAGCTGGGACTACAGGCATGTGCCGCCATGCCCAGCTCATTTTTGCATTTTTAGTAGAGATGAGGTTTCATCATGTTGGCCAGATGGTCTCGATCTCTTGACCTAGTGATCTGCCTGCCTTGGCCTCCCAAAGTGCTAGGATTACAGGCTTAAGCCACTGTGCCCAGCCGAGAAAATTCTAAGGAGGGCTTAGTACTGAACCTCAGAACCTCTGCCAAGATCACCCTCTTTGGAGATATTGGGGTCCAGAGGAATCCCCAGGGCAACCCTCTTCGGGGTCCAATCTTAAGAGTGTCAGACATCTCTGACCCTAGGTGGGCACCAGTGCTGCTTTGCATGTTTTCCCTTCAGAGGTGACTGCCTACTGTGAGCTTTCCTTTTGTCCCTGGTCATGAAGGCCTTGACTTCTAGCACTCTTATAATTTCATAAAGCTGCGCTATTCCATGCTCTCCATTCCACTAGAGTGATAGCCATGAACCGTAATGATAGGAACTGGAGGCCGGGTGAGTTCTTTTGTCCTTAGCCAGTCCAGTAGGATAAGGGAAGAATTTAGCCTAAGAAAAGGTTTAAGTCTCCCAAAACACATGCGAGTTTGTCCTGAGCTGCTTCACACATAGGGACCAGGGGCCGTAACAGGAAAAGATGGAAAAAGAGTCCTTCAAAAGTGGCACAAGCCAAAAACCTGCAGTTGCTGCCATGTTTAGGCACTGCCCACCAAGGGTCCTGAGTTGGAAAGGAAAAGAGAGAGGGAGAGATTCCCCTGTATGGAGCAGAAAGGAAAAGATGAAAAGGAAATCCCAGTCAGGCACGATGGCTCATGCCTGTAATCCCAGCACTTTGGGAGGCCAAGGTGGGCAGATCTCGAGGTCAGAAGTTCCAGACCAGCCTGGCCAATATGGTGAAACCCCATAGCTACTAAAAATACAAAAATTAGCTGGGTGTCGTGGCATGTGCCTGCAGTCCCAGCTACTCGGGAGGCTGAGGCAGAAGAATCACTTGGACCAGGGAGTTGGAGGTTGCAGTGAGCCAAGATTGGGCCACCACACTTAGCCTGGCAACAGAGCAAGACTCCATCTCAAAAAAAAAAAAAAAAAAAAGAAATCTCAAACTTTGGGCTTACCTCCTGTCTGGCTCGACAAAATATGTTACTAGTGGAGGGTATCCAAGTTCTTGGTGTCTTGAACAAAGAATTGAACAAAACGGCAGAAATAAAGCAAAGAAAGAATGAAGCAACAAAAGCAGAGATTTATTAAAAATTAAAGTACACTTTACAGGTGGGAGCGGTCTAAACATAGGAACTCAAGACCCAAGTTACAGCATTTTCTGGACTTTAAATACCCTCTAGAGGTTTCCATTAGTTACTTGGTGTACTCCCTATGTAAATGAAGAGGATGAAGTAGCCCTATGTAAATGAGGAGGATATTTCCTGTCATAGCTGAAGTGTTTCCATTTGATTTACTTCCAGGAAGTCCTTAGGTTCCCTGCTTCCAGGCCCTAGTCTCCTGCCTCACTCATAGCTTAGCTTCAGGATTAAGTGATCTTTATGATGAATTTTTAATCTGGAGAGTTTATGATTCTATGTCTTTTTTTTTTTTTTTTTTTGAGATGGAGTCTCATTCTTCTCACCCAGGCTGGAGTGCAGCGTCACAGTCTCGGCTCACTGAACCTCTGCCTCCTGGGTTCAAGTGAGTCTCCTGCCTCAGCCTCCCAAGTAGCTGGGATTACAGGTGCCTGCCACCACACCAGGCTAATTTTTATATTTTCAGTAGAGACAGGGTTTCACTATGTTGGCCAGGCTGGTCTCGAACTCCTGGTCTCAAGTGATCCTCCCACCTCAGCCTCCCAAAGTGCAGGATTACAGGCATGAGCCACTGCACCCGGCCGTCTACAGATTTTTCTTTCACTCTTCGTCTATGCCTACGCTCTGCTTTCACCAAACTATTCCCCAAACAAGCCCTTTGGGTTCTTGTCTATGAGCCTTTGTTCATGTGGTATGCTCAATCTGGAAGGCCCTCTTTGCTATCTTTTCTGTCAAAGTCCTACCCAACCTGAGAACCAGCTACCCTGCCACCTCATCCATGAAACTTCCTGGTCCCCCAACAGCCAGAAGTAAACTCTCTGTACACCTCACCAGCTCCTCAGCATCTTTTGTCCTTTGGCTGTTTGCTAACTTTCTTTCTCTGTTCACTGGAAATGCCTTGGGGGTGGGCTTGGGGATTCATAGTTGGTGGAGAAGGGAGACAGGAATTAGACAGAAGTGGGCTTGGATCCCAGTGGTGCCTATTCCTCACCATGTGACCTTGGGTGTGCTGTCACCATGGCTTTGTATCTTTACATTTTTGTAAAATGGAGATTGGTGAGAATTACGCCCTGCATTAGAGTAGGCTCACCTTTCCCACAGCACGTGGTAAATGCACATAAGTGTGGCATTGATGAGGGGTGGGCCCCCACCCTTAAAGGCTTACAGTCCCCCAGGGGAGGCTGGACATGAGGCTTAGAAAGTGCCAGATGCACTGTATAGACAGAAAAAGATATGAATCCCCAGATGAGGAAGCGGTCATTCAGTGCTGGAGGAGAACGGGGGCTCAGGTGAGAGGAAGAGGATGGCAGAGGTGAGAAGCCACAGGCAGTTTTGCGGAGGTCTTGAGAAGTCCAATTCACTGAACAACTTTGCCCTTTAGAGAAGGAGACAAATAGATAAAGGGGCAAGGTGTGTCTACAGCCAATGAGAAGGACTAGAGATCAGAGGGCATGGGATCAAGGCTCTCTTGCCATGCCCTTTGGGGCTTCTGAGACCTCCAGCCCACTGCACAGCAGGACCTTCTGGAAGTAACAAAGTATTTGGTTTGAGGCCTGTAGGAAAATCTGTCTTTTCATTTTTTAATTTTAAATTCTATTTTTAATTTAAAATTAAATTAAAATTTAATTTTAAATTCTATTTTTTTTTTTTTTTTTTG